ATATCATCTTTTAATTGAATTCGTACTTTTTAAAAAAGGTTTGAATTAAAAATCTTTCTCAACTGTTTACAATATTTGATCGCGGCATTCGATCTGAGAAATTGAAAAGCTGACGACGAAGACTGCTTGTTTGTTGTTTTTTTAATTATGTTATGTTTTAAGTGACTAAAATCGAGCTTTTTATTTGTTAAAAGTAAAGTGATATTTAAGACCCCAACCATCTCTCTAATTTCCATTCTTATCACTAAAATACTTTTTTCGTTTAGTTTTGATCAAAATAAATAATGATTACTCTGATTTAGAACATGATGTAATTTTGGATTATTGAAGGTAATTTTCCAAAAATCGTATACTAGGACGGACCTAACACTTTAAGCCATTAAAATAAATTATTTCGAAATTTTACTAAAAAAGTGAAATAAACTTCTTCAGAATGTGTATAATGTAAATATAAATCAGTGAACGAACAACATAGAAATTAATCAAATAACGTTTTTTTGTTTTTGTTTATTCCAGATTACGAACGTAAACTTTTCTGTTTTAGATTTAAAATGAAAACTCGTTTTACAACGATTGATATTATATCAATCGTTGAAGAACTCCAACAGGTACTTATATTTTATTCACCGTAGAAAATCTCTGCCCCTCCCCACAGCCCACTCTTTTTGGTAACAAAGTTTAGGCCCTTATAAACAATTATAACCAGGGTTCAATCCAAGTATAAGATTTTTTATTTTAAAAAATTTCTAATTTAAACTTATATGGCCAAATATAACAATATATTTTTATGAGTCCAGCAAATTTATTTGAATATATTTATGACATAAAAATTAATAAGTTAAGAATGTTGAAAGTTTTATAATGAATATTATTAAAATAATATTAAATATTTATGCTCGTCCTCTTTATATACACGTTGCTTATCCGGGTGTTTGTTTGTATCCAATAAACATCTAATCCGATCGAGTCCAAATTTGTTATGGCTATTATCTAGTATGTTGGATATATGGTAAACCAGCTGTATAGATAATAAAACCTATCTATTGTTTAGTATGTTGGATACAGGGTGAACCAGGTGTATGATATAGATAAAAAACCTATCTATTGTTTAGTATGTTGGATACAGGGTGAACCAGGTGTATGATATAGATAATAAAACCTATCTGATAAAACTACAGAAACCAGAATGTAAGGCAGTTCTACTTATTGAATCAGGAACAAGGTAAATCAAATATTTTGGAATTTGATTCCCCCCCTCCCCCATCCTGATATAGTAAAATATATAGTTCAGAGGTGTAAGTTTTTAAGAATTACCCCCCCCCCTCCCTTATCACAAAGGGAAAAATGTAAAATTGGACAAAAAAGGCAAGTTTTTTCATCCCTTTTTCATACTTGTTATGTAAAAGTTTATTTATTTTCGCCTTAAATTCAACTAACTTCTAAAGGAAATGATTNGGGTGGTGGAATTATTTTTAAAAGTTTCAAACTTTTAAGAAAAAAATGTTAGAACAAAGACAGCAGACTTGCATTTAGAGGCTAAACAAAACTTTTTCTGACACCTTGCATAATATTTGTTTTCTTTTGCTCTACCCAACTCGGCATTATTAATTTTCGATGAAAAATATATGTAAGCACAGCTAATTTTTGAAAATGTTCTCTTTATGCCGTTTGTTACATATCAAATTTTGAACCAACAGAGGTCAAAACGCGTGGTTAATCTCGTTCTCATTTAGTTTTCCCTATCCTTACATTTATCACAAAAGTTATAATCACTGTTCTTATTTTTTTAATAACATCATATTTTAGAAGATTTCAAATACAGTGAGAACCAGAAAACAGTTCTATTAACTATTAACTATTAATTTTTTAGATCATTTAATAAGTTACATGGGCCTGTTTACACTGCACAATTACTGTGTCCTATGTTCATCGGACTATTAAAAGTCAAAACTTGAGTCCAAAAGTCTTCTTTCTGTTCTGGTTCTCACTTTACCTGAAGAGACCTTTTTCTCCATGAAAAAACTTATTTTTTGATATTAGTTGAAAAGATAATTATTTAAGTGGATTATTTTAGGATTCATACAACAGAGTTCGAATGGCCGAAAAATCCTGCACCCAGCGGGTCAGTACATATTTACTTTAGTAATCGTTGTTCTTTTACTCAATAATCGATTGATCAATGATTAATTGATTGATCAATGATTAATTGATTGATAAATGATTGATTGATCAATGATCAATTGATTGATCATTGATTAATTGATTGATGATTAATTGATCAATGATTAATTGATTGATCAATGATTAATTGATTGATAAATGTTGATTGATCAATGATTAATTAATTGATCAATGATTGATCGATAATTTCTCGGTCATTCAAATAATTCCAATGATGTCAAATTATCGATCTGATTAGTTGATTGGTTATCATTGATCGATATAATCCTCTATTGATTGATGCTCATTGATAGATCCAGTGATTGGTTGGTTTGCTGATTGATTGATTGTTTTTGATTGATTGTTTATTTGATTGATTGATTGATTAGATTCTCTATGAAATTGCGAAAACACATTAATAATAAGAGACTGGAGAAGATTTCCCAGATGGGAGTTGACAGAGTGCTAGGTAATACTACATTATTATTATTAGCATTTTTTTACCACCTGCAAATATTTTTATGAAAAAATTCGAACTATTTCATCTAAAAAGACGATAAAATTGTACATTTTTTGGAAAATTGAAAATTTTACTTGAGCACGGGTTACCTTGACCAATTTTGCCTACAAAGCATCAATTGCTTCCCTATGGATCTTCTGTTTGAAAATTGGTCTTGAGAACTCTGGGTTAAGTAGAATTTTCTTCCTTGCTAAGTAGTTGTGAATATATATTATCTATATTTATTTATTTATTTGTTCAGAAAAAAAATATGCCTTTTGATGATCAACAATACAAATTAATGATTGGGGACGAAACTATCGAAAGAATAGGGTTAGGTTGTAAAGAAAAATATTTTAAATTTGTAGGAGTTAGATTTGATGAGTTTCTAAAATGGGATTTTCAATTAGAACACACATGTGCTAAAATTTCAAGTGCGATATTTGCACTGAGAAATGTAAAACATATCCTTCCTTTGAGAAATAGAAAATTAATATATGATAGTCTTATTAAAAGTCAACTAGAGTATGGTATTTTATCTTGGGGTCCGTCAGATTAGGTAAATTATCTACCCTTCAGAAAAAAGCTTTACGAGTTCTAGCAGATAAAGGTTATGCTGCACACGCAGATCCACTTTTTCTGAAACTTGAAATTCTAAAAATAAAAGACATGATCAAATTTAATTCTGCTGTTTTTATGTTTAAATATATGAATGGCAAACTTCCATTATCTTTTAATGGAATGTTTTTAGCGTTAGCAGAACCAAACAGAACAAAAAGTTATATTCTATTCTTCAATACCTTTCCTCTATCTACTACTTTTCATTTTCCTCCTTTTCCTTTTGTTCTAAATTGTTTTTGTTTTAATTGGTTTTATTTAAATTGAACATGGATGTATCGCTGCAGAAGGGCCTCTCATTCAAAACAACCAACAATGGTTAGTGAGGCCCTGGCTAAATCAAAATGTAAAAATTGTAAAACTTAAATTGTTTTTAATTAAATATTTAGTCAAATATATATCTATCTATCTATCTATATAATAAAACAAGACATTCGTATACATGTTCCCTTTTGCCGGCCAAACGGCTGGACAGACTGGGCTGAATTTTTCCAAAAATTTAACTTAAAATTTATTTTTTTTCAAATTCCACGGGCAACGCTGAGTCCTTTAGATAGTTATTATTATTTCATGTAGCGTTTACCTGAAATGGATGAAGAGTGTTTAATATTATAAATATATTTCATTCAAATCTTCTCGTTTCGCAAAAATTGCACAAAAGTTTTGGGAATTGAAATTTGATTTGAAACCTGTTTATGTTTGACCTCCCATACGAAATATAAAATATATATTTATATTTTTAATCCAATGCAAATAACTGTTTGTTCAGATATACAGTTTGGTGCTGGCGATGCATCATATCATCTCATTTTGGAAATGTAAGTGGATTCTAGAAAAAAAGAGAAACTAACTTTTGTCCATTTTTAGTTAATTTACAATTTAAATGTTTTTTTTTTCAATTAATTAATAATTGGATTGAATATTTAACTAATTATTTGATAGACTTATTGATTTCAATTTGATCAATGAAATATTCAATTATTTGATTGAATTATTGATTGGAAATTTTATTGATTAATTAATCGATTATTTGATTGATAAGTTAATAGATTATTTGGATAATTTATTAATCGACTATTTCATTGGATGATTAAAAAATTTGTTGAAAGATTAGTTAGTTTCAAATTAACTAATAAATTGATTGGTTGATTAACTAATTGATTTTTTAATCGTATGACTTATTGATTGTATGACTAGTTGAATAATTTATTAATTGAAGGTTTGATTGATTGATTGAATGAATAATTGATATGTTGAATAATTGATTAATTGAGTAATTAATTGATTAAATAATTGATTGATTGCTCCAGGTATGACCGAGGAAACCTGGTTCTAACTGACCATGAGTATTTGATCATGAATATACTCAGACCAAGGGTGGCGGGGGAGGAGAAATTTCTAGGTTAGTTTAAAGGGAGTGTTTTTCTCAGTAAAATTCTGTAATAGAATAGTTACATTTCTTATGAACTAAATTAATGAAATTGTATTTTCAAAAATTATATTTTTTTTTCTGTCTGATAATTTTTTCTCAATAATTTGTTGATTTATGCACTAGAGATGAAGATGAAGGTTTAAAGGGAACTTTCCAAGTTTAGGGCAGGGGGCGGAAACGTCATGTGTGTGTGTCTTTGCCAAAAAAGTGTGTGTAAAGTTGACCGTACCGAAGGTGTGTACTGTAAGTATATACAGTACATACGAATCTCGGTATTTGTACAGTCTAGGAGAGTACATTAGTTTATTGTTAATTGTTTACTTAAAAATAAGTTTAATATACATGTAGTATATTACTTATATATTTAAGTCAACACTATAAAGCCAAATTTTCATGCAAAGAATATACTTTGATTAAAGTTTACAAAAAACTAGTCGTTATTCAAGCTTATTTGTAATTGACAACATTGTTCTACAATTTCCTTGACTGTAATCATGTTGTGTGTCTGTACCAAAAGAGTGTGTGTAAAGTTTACCGAACTTGTCTGCAAAGCAGTGCGATTGGCTTTCTCATGCCATACCAGCGCCATTTCCTTTCCCTTTATTCCTATTCCCTGGTTTAGGGTTCCAATTGAGATTTTGATGACAGTTCCCATTAATCATAATTTTCTAGTTCGTGAGAGCTATCCTGTTGAGCTGGCTAAGCAAGAATACAGTAAACTAGGAAACTTTAATACAAACTATAAAATACTAAATACAGCTCAGATTATACAAAAAAACTTAATAAAAGAGAAAATACTTCAAGAGAAAGCAGATTTTATTGGAAAAGGGTTCCTTCCTTCATTCGCTTAGTTGCGGAAAATATATGATATATGTATGATATCTGATATAATAGAAAATTAATGAAATTTTGGGGTTTTAAGTCTCGAAAAGGGTAGTAGAACTTTTCAGTGCTTTTGCTCAATTTATAATTGTTTCCCATTTATTCTTGAAACTATATATTATAAAGTACCCTTGATGATGCAGAGAATATGAAGTTGAATTCACAAATATTTATTTTTATTCATTGTCTAATGTTGAGCAGATGAGAAAATATATATTACCCTTGATAATGCAGAGAATATGAAGTTGAATTCACAAATATTTTATTTGTATTTATTGTAATGTTGAGAAGATGAGAAAATATATTACCCTTGATAATGCAGAGAATATGAAGTTGAATACACAAATATTTTATTTGTATTTAATGTCTAACGTTGAGCAGATGAGAAAAACCTGTTGAACCTACTGAAGAGTGGTAAACCTGTAGATACAGTCAAGAAGATCGTCATGCCGCACTTCGAGTACGGTCCTAGTCTACTGGAGCATATTTGCTTAGGTTGGTCTTCTCATTTGTTTGTTCATAGAGATTTTAAGATTTAGGCGTGATATAATTGGATTGAGTGGATAGTATGAGATTGAGGCGGTATATAATGATAATGAGGCAGGAAATTACGAAATTGAGTGGGATATTATGAGATTGAATGGGATCTTATTAGATTTAGGCGGGATATTATGAGATTGAATGGGATCTTATTAGATTTAGGCGGGATATTATGAGATTGAATGGGATCTTATTAGATTTAGGCGGGATATTATGAGATTGAATGGGATCTTATTAGATTTAGGCGGGATATTATGAGTTTGAGGCGGGATATAATGGGATTGAGGCGGGATCTTATTAGATTTAGGCGGGATATTATAAGATTGAGGCGGGATATTATGGGATTGAGGCGGGATATTATGAGATTTAGGCCGGATATTATGATATTGAGGCGGGATATAATGAAATTGAGGCGGGGGGACATTATGAGATTTAGGCCGGATATTATGATATTGAGGCGGGATATATTGGAATTGAGGCGGGATATTATGAGATTGAGGCGGGATATTATTAGATTGAGGTGGGATATTATGAGATTGAGGTGGGATTTTATAAGACAGAGGCAGGATACTATGAGATTGAGACAGGATATTATGAGATTTAGGCGGGTTATTATAATATTGAGGCAGGATATTTTGATCTTGAGGCGGGATATTATGAGATTGATGTGGAAAATTATGAGATTTAACGGGATGTTATGATATTGAGGCAGGATGTTTTGAGATTTAGCAAGATATTTTGAGTTGGAGGCAGAATATTATGAGATTGAGCTGGATATAATGAGATTGAATATACTCAATTGATTTGTTGTATGTTTTTTTTTAATTTATTTATCTTAAAGATTTATTTTTAATTCTAGAAAATGGAGTGACTAAAAACATTAAACTAAAGAATTTTAATTCTAGAAAATGGAGCATCTATAAACAGTAAACTAAAGGATTTTAATTCTAGAAAATGGAGCAACTTTAAACATTAAACTGAAGGATTTTAATTCTAGAAAATGGAGCGACTATAACCATTAAACTGAAGGATTTTAATTCTAGAAAATGGAGTAACTATAAACATTAAACTAAAGGATTTTAATTTTAGAAAATGGAGCAACTTTAAACATTAAACTGAAGGATTTAAATTCTAGAAAATGGAGTAACTATAAACAGTAAACTAAAGGATTTTAATTCTAGAAAATGGAGCAACTTTAAACATTTAACTGAAGGATTTAAATTCTAGAAAATGGAGTTACTATAAACAGTAAATTGAAGGATTTTAAGTCTAGAAAATGGAGTAACTATTAACATTTGAATAAAGGATTTTAATTCTAGAAAATGGAGTAACGATAAACAGTAATCTAAAAGATTTTAATTCTAGAAAATGGAGTGACTATAAACAGTAAACTGAAGGATTTCAATTCTAGAGAATGGAATAACTATAGAAAGTAAACTAAAGGATTTTAATTCTAGAAAATGGAGTAACTATAAACAGTAAACTAAAGGATTTTAATTCTAGAAAATGGAGTGACTATAAACAGTAAACTGAAGGATTTTAACTTGGAGACTGATTTTCCTCGCCTTCTTGCAGCGTTCACATCACTAGACAACTTCTTCAAAACTGCAGCAAGGTTTTATATAATTTATCGCTTTTTTTTAAAAAGTATTAATTTATTTAGATAAAAAAGTAAATAGGTTTCTCTTGAAAAATATTTTATTAATAATTTTGAGAGCTTGGTGGAGAATTAACATTAAAGAAATACCATTATTAAAAATACAAACATTGGAGTGATTCAGTGTTAAAGTTGAGACGTTCAGATTTAGACTCGAGACTAAGTTAGATCCGACTTTGAAAACTTGTCAAAGTGATTTAATTAGACTCATATCTTTAATCTCAACCTCAGTCTTGAGAAAACTTCTTTGCCAACTTATCTAAGTCACGGCCTGTTTTTATTCTAACACATGCTATGTTTGCAAAAGAATCGAAGAAACCAAAGACGATTTTACAAAGAAAAGAATAAAAAGTTTAAAAAGAGTAAAAGATATAATCAAACATAAAGGATGTTAAAAATCAGCGCGAATTAAAAAGATGCTTATAAATGCCTGTTTTTTCATAGAACCGATATCTTTTCCACACTCCATAAAGTTTTTTTTACTTTTTTTTAACATTACAAATAAATCTATGATTTTTATTTCTAAAAGTTGTTAGTTCATCGTCGAAAAATACAAACAAACCACTAATTTATGGTAAATATAGTGTAAACAATAAATATGTAACTTTCCTTTCCTATCTTTTTCCTTTTATTTATATTTTTATATTTTTTAGAATTGGGGGAAAATATTCCCACAACCTCTATTTTTAGAGGTTTTTAAATATTTTCTCCTGAAACACTTTATTTTGTATGTTTTTGTTATATTTCATAAATAAATAATTTTTTACTTTTTTATTTATAATGAAACATTTTACTTAAAGGGACTGTGCTCGTATTTTCAAGGGACTCTCAGCCTCCTTAAATAAAGTCGCATTGTAACTTCATCATTTTTTACCGGGGTTTCTCTACATAAGCTACTTGCGTCTACTTAAGAAAAAATGGGAGGAAATTATCAGGATTTAGCACTTTTTAATTTAGGAAAACGGCTTTATCCTCGAAATTTTTTATCATATAAAGTTTTAAAAAGTACCATTGTGAATTGGGTATCCTGAAAGGAGGGTTCGTTGAAGTTACGACTATACTCCCTTTCAACACTATGCTAATTTCCGCCCTTTGGTCTTGGCCTTGATTTCCACGGTACGATGGTTGATCTTTTATTTATTTATTTATTTATTTATTTATTTATTTATTTATTTATGCTTCTTTAAAACAGTCAAGTAAAGTTAAAATGACATAATTTAAATTACTCAGGAACGGAGTAATAGTTCAAAAAGCTGAGACACGGCCTAAAGCTGACGGGTCAACTGAGGGTTTTTTCACATTCCAGGTAGAAATTTAATTTTTTTTGTTCGATTAAAAAAAGTTAAACATATTTTTTCCCTTCTAAATCTTTGTTAATTAGCCCTTTCCCCCCCCCCCCCCCTAGTGTACAATTTTTTCATTTTTAATTAAATTCCAAATTTACTTACTTCTTAAACTTGATTTGATATTGTCTGATTCCCCTTAATTTTCTTCCTGAAGCCTCCATTTTCCCCAGCAAATCAACAGTTTTTTCTTTGTTTACCGATTCATGTTATCGCAGATCCATATATTCCGACCATTTGATTTTTTTGGTAATATGATTGTTTTATTTATTGATAAATTGATTTCTACAGGAATTCCATCCGTACCTGTACAAGCAGCATAGTAATAGTTCTATACTAGAGTTTCCTTCATTCAACTCTGCTTGTGATACCTTCTTCTCTCAGGTATTTGGTGTTAACTCATAGTCACTCCAACCGTTTACCCGCGCTTGGTCTTAAATTACGATTTTTGCTATTTTTTTCCTATAAAAGGAGACCCACTCAATTAAGAATCTTTAAACCAAGCTCAGAACAGTCCAGTGGTTCTGCCGAGTTCCTCAATCAAAATTTGAGGCAGATCGGTCCAGGGGTTTATGAGTTATGATCGAACAGACAAACAGAGATTACAACTTCATATATATATAGATTTATGATATTTATTTTCTTGTAAACCAAGTGTTAAACGATTACAAGCGTTTGTGTAGATTAATAAGCACAAGCTGTGTTGATCTAAGAACCTTAGGATTCGCCTGATCGAGGCATATTGGCCACGCCCCTATTCTCCACACTTATAGAACGTCCGGTTCTAATCTGAGACCTCATGTATTTTATCTGCAACAGATAACACGTAAGATCTTGTTCCTGCTGAGGGAAGTCTTGCACAGATTGAAAATCTGGTAGAAGCATCTATTAATCTCAATATAGAATACTTATTCCAGATCAATCTGAATATCAACAAAGAACAAAATAGAAATAAATGATAAAAATGATGAAGATGCTTTCCTGGTGGTTCTATTGGCAATTTATATAATCAATGGAGTTCAAGCTCATTGTATAATATCTGAAATGGTAAACATCTCAGATATGATTTTCATACAAAGATTGAACAATACATGATACACAAATAAAGCCAGCAGGATCACATCTGTGGTAGCAAGGTTTCCTCTCAACATTGTTCCATAGTCCTTAACAAAAAATGCTTGACAATGAGCAATCTTAGCTAAACAAGCTGAAGGGCCCGGCGTTGCCCGTGGAAAAAAGTTTGAAAATAAATTTCGATTTTTTAGCCTTTAACACCCCCGGCCACCTATGAGTGTCCACAAAAAAATTTCAGCCCAATCGGTCCAACCGTTTGGCCGGCTATACGCAACATATATATATATATATACGAATGTCTTGTTTATTATATAGATAAGTCCATCATCCTTTTCAAGCCACTGTTATGAATCGGACTAATGGAGGGTCACTTGAAATTTTAAAATTACAATCCCTTTTATTTAATGTAATTGTATAGGTTGATAGAAATGAAGAGTGTACATCAGGAAATGATGAGAAAAAAAAAACTGGACACTGTGTACAGCATGCATGAATTATGTTATTGTACTGGTTGAAGCACAGTAGATGGAAAAGAAGAGTGCACAGTTTAAGAATAATAATGTAAATGTACAGGAAAGGCAAAGAAAAGTTTACACTGTGTACAGTAGGCATGAATTATGTTCTTATACAGGTTGAAGCACAGAAGATATAAATAAAAAGGGTACAGCAGGAAAGATTTATGTCATTTTACAGCTGGAACGAAATATATGAATGTACAGCAGGAACAGATTTTGTAAATATATAGGTTTAAGCACAGAGGATAGACAAGAGAAGGGTACAGTAGGAAAGATATATATGTGTACAGTTGGAATAATTATGTAAATGTACAGGTTGAAAGCAAAGAAGATTGAGATGAAGAGTGTACAACAGGAGAAGAATATGTTAGTGTACAGCAGGAATTAACAATGTTATTGTACAGGTTGAAGCACAGAAGATAGAGATGAAGAGTGTACAGCAGGAGAAGAATATGTGTAAATGTACAGCATGAATTAACTATGTTATTGTACAGGTTGAAGCACAGAAGATAGAGATGAAAAGTATACAGCAGGAGAAGAATGCTTTGAAGAAACTAGAGAATGTAAAAAAGGACCATGAGACAAGGATTAGATCCCTTCAAGAAATACAGGTTTACAATCCCTTCATTTAGGATTAGATCACTTCAAGAATTACAGGTATACAATCACTTCATTTAGGATTAGATCCCTACAAGAATTACGGGTTTAAAATCCCTTCATTTAGGATTAGACACCTTCAAGAATTACAGGTTTAGAATCACATCACTTAGGATTAGATCCCTTCAAGTATTACAGGTATACAATCCCTTCATTTAGGAATAAATCCCTTCAAAGACTACAGCTATTCAGTCCCTTCATTAAGGATTAGATTCTTTCAAAGACTACAGGTTTAGAATCCTAGAACTACAGGTATAAATCCCCTTATTGCTTATGAAAGGATTCAAGAATTAGAGGTATACAATCCCTTTATTGTTCACGAAGGGATTGGATCCTCTCAAGAATTCCGGGTATACAATTCCTTTATTGTTATGGAGGGAGTAGATCCCTTCATCAAATTACAGTTATTTAATATTATAAAGAACCCCGAAGAAGACCCCCCCCCCCCGACCGCCGCCAATTGGGGGGAGGGGGGCACAACTTACAATCCCTTTTTTTGTTTATCAAGCAAAGGATCAAATCCCTTGAAGTACAAAAGGTTTACAATCATTTTACTCTTGTTTTGTTTTCTAATTCCGACACCAGATATTTTACAAAAAATTAATTAGGCGGCTGACCGGCGTAGGGGAGAGCTGATTGAGATGAATAATGGTGTGGTAGAGAACGCGATCAAGGTGGTGGTGAGTGCTGTAGCTAATCAGATACCTTGGGACCAGATCAAGGTTAGTTTATACTTGGTTTGAAATTTTATCTTTAAACTTTGAACTTTGATCTTTGATCTCTGACCTTTGAACTTTAAATTTTGACCTTTGAACTTTGACCTTTGAACTTTGAACTTTGAACTTTGAACTTTGAACTTTGAACTTTGAACTTTGATCTTTGACCTTTGATCTTTGATCTTTGACCTTTGAACTTTGAACTTTGACCTTTGACCTTTGATCTTTGAACTTTGATCTTTGAACTTTGAACTTGAACTTTCAACTTTGACCTTTGAACTTTGAACTTGAACTTTTCAAGAAATGTGAATTTGAATCATGATCTTCAATTTTGAGCTTTGTAGCATAGACATTAGACCTGCATCATAGATCTTGTATTTATGTTCCTAAGGCTATCATCTTTCCTAGAACTCCAACTATTTCCATTAGTACAATTTTGTACTTTGAAACCCTTGAACTTGGAACCTAAAAAATGAAACTTTGAACCTCGAACTTTGAGCTTAAAACTTCAAACTTCAAACTTCAAACTTTAAACTTTAAACTTTAAACTTTAAACTTTAAACTTTAAACTTTAAACTTTAAACTTTAAACTTTAAACTTTAAGCTTTAAGCTTTAAACTTTAAACTTTAAACTTTAAACTTTAAACTTTAAACTTTAAACTTTAAACTTTAAACTTTAAACTTTAAACTTTAAACTTCAAACTTCAAACTTCAATCTTCAAACTTTAAACTTTGATCTTCAAACTTCAAACTTTAATCTTTAAACTTTAAACTTTGATCAAACTTTAAACTTTAAACTTTAAACTTTAAACTTTAAATTTTGACCACTGACAATATTTAGCTTTTTTAGGAGATTATCAAAGAAGCAACTGATGCTGGTGACCCAGTAGCTTCTAGAATAAAGCAGTTAAAACTAGAAGTTAACCATATAGTTCTTCTTCTAACTGACCCATATGCGCATTTAGGTGATTTAACCAAGACTTGAAAATTTTTACTTTTTAGAATTTTTAAACTGGAGATTCATTTCTTTTATTTATTAATTTATTCTTTTATCCCCCTTTTCACAGGGGAGTACATTCTTACTTTTCCCTGAATCAATTAATTAAGAATATACAGTATACACCCCTGTATTTTCATTCATCCTTTCGTTCGCCTATTCGTCCTCTTATTCACTTATCCCTTCATTTATTCTTCCATCCTTTTATTCATTCATTCATTCATTCATTCATTCATACTTATCTCATTTATCCTTTTGTTTATTCTTTCATCTTTTCATTCAATCATCCTTTCATTAATTCGTTAACTCATTTATTTGTTCGTCAATTCATTCTTCAATTCGTTAATTCATTCATTAATTTGTTAATTCATTCATTAATTCGTTAATTCATTCATTTATTTGTTAACTCATTCATTAGTTCGTTAATTCATTAATTAATTCGTTGACTCATTCATTAATTAGTTAATTTATTCATTAATTCGTTATTTCATTCATTAATTCATTAATTCATTTATTAGTTCGTTAATTCATTCATTAATTCATTAATTTATTCATCAATTCATTTATTAATGTTTTTAGATGAAGATTCAGATAAATCAGAATCTGAGTCTGAAGCAAGAGAACTCCTGGTAGAGATAGACTTAGATCTCAGTGCGCAAGCGAATGCGCGAAAATACTATGTACAGAAGAAAGCAGCCGGCACTAAGGAACCAAACTGAGTTAAACTTTATTTTTCTTAGTACTCTATTTTCACTTTTAATTCATGCATTTTCATCACTGGCAGGTTTAGTCTCGATACAACGTTTTGTAATGATGGAGGGGAAATAAATGTTTTGGTTTGATTATAAAAATGGCAGGGAAAAAATGGTTTATTAATTTGGCTTTAAATACAAAATATTAAGATTGTGGCGAAAATAATAAATGGTTCGGCTTTGATAAACCACATTGTCAAGACGGCGGGGAATACATGGTCGGGTTTGGCTTTAGTTTAACAATTTGTCATGATTGCGGTAAAAATGTTTTGGTTTGGTTTGATTAAACAATTTGTCAAGATGGCGGGAAATAAATGGTTTGGTTTGGCTTTGATTAAACATTTTGGCAAGATGCACACCTAGATGGCGGGATATAAATGGTTTGGTTTGGCTTTGATTAAACATTTTGCCAAGATGGCGGGATATAAATGGTTTGGTTTGGTTTTGATTAAACGTTTTGACAAGAAGAAGGCGGGTTATAAATGGTTTGGTTTGGTTTTGATAGGAGAAGAAGACAGTAGAATCTGGAACAGTTGCTTTAAAAAGTGCAGAGAAGAAGACAAAACAGACCCTAAAGGTAGGTCTTTTAATCAAATATTTACACAGGAAGTCTACTTACAGTGACATCAACAAATCTGCGGAATAGAAAAAGGACATTTAAGCAATTTTAAGCGTATTTGATGTTTTTTGAAATCCACTTAATTAATTAAATGGGTCTGTGTACACTGCACAATTGATGTGTTTCATGTTTCAGAAGACCTTGTGATTGCTTTAACGTTTTTTAAATTTCCAAAATCTTAAAGATTAGTCTAGTTTTCTTAATTCAAATCCTTTAATTTTTACAATTTGAATTTAATTTACATCTGTTTTTTTCTGTGGGTTCCTCTAGAAAGATATTTTTAAAACAATTTCTGTTTTATGATTCGAGCAGTACACATGCAGTACACATTTCTGAAGTGTAGACACATACACAAAAACTGGCCAAAGTTCACAATGACACGTAAAGTGTATATTCATGGCTCTAAATGTACTTTCAACCCCGATCCCATTGGGATCGGAAATGGAATTATATGGAGCCCTGTCTGATACTTGATGATATTATTCTAGGAGATGGCAACAATCTCGAACATCAACAAGGCGAGGAAAGTCTACTGGTTCGAGAAATTCTTCTGGTTTATTACTAGCGAAAACTTTCTTGTCATAGGTAAGTGAAATTTGACAGGGGGGGGGGGCGGACAGGAATTTTTTAGATATAGAGAGAGATTTACAGATAAATCGTAGAATTACAAATTCCCAATACCAATCAAAGTTTAGTCTAGATATTGAATTGAGCATTTTTAATAGTTTAAAGGTTTATAATACTTTTAAGTTTGACAATTGTACAATTAGGTGGAAGAGATGCCCAGCAGAATGAGCTAATTGTAAAACGGTACATGAGGGAGGGAGATATTTATGTACATGCAGATTTACACGGAGCTTCAAGCATTGTTATTAAGAATCCAACAGGTAGTTATTTAACTTCAAAGGGTATGGTGGAGTTGGCACATTTGATGTAGGGTAGACATCAAAAATAGACATCAAAAATAGACATCAAAAATAGACATCATAACTAGACATCAAAAATAGACATCAAAAATAGACATTAAAAGCAGACACAAAAAATAGACATAAAAAATAGACATAAAAAATAGACACAAAAAATAAACATCAAAAATGCTAAAACATTTTAAAAGTGACGAATCATTAATAGTCGCTTCATTTTCTGACATTTTTGAATTTTGAAAAATTCGGAAATAATGGCTAGATAATATGCAAAATATAGATTTGCTATTCATAAAAACTTATCAAAAAAAACTTACTTATTAATTCTGATGGGCTATTGCTTAGTTCAAATTAAAAAAGAATTTCAAATTTTTTGTGAACTATGAAACGTTCCACAAATTTCCGAGAAGTTTTACAAATTTCAATATTGTTTTTTTCTAAATCTTTGCTGTCCTTACTCTTTGCCAAATTATAACCTTGAGGAAAGATTTATGCGAAAAATTAACCAAAAAATGTTTTTAAACCAATCATTAGTTGGTTAGGGTTTTTTTTTTCTTTAGTATCATTAAAGCAAACTTTTAGAAATACAGTTTTGAAATGTTGAAACCTTCACAGATTTTGTTGGGCAAGTCCAAACCCCTTCATAGAACTAGAAAAATTAATCAACCTATTGCCGACCACTACTGACTGAAAACATCCACTTTCCACAAAGTAAATATTACTATTATATATTGCGCAAAGTACCGTAGAAGATTAGGAATCAATGTAATTCCATTATAAAGCAGACAAAGCATGAAAATAAAGTTGAATAAGTTATATTTAAATAAATAAATAAAAAGAAATTTAAAAAGTTGTAAATTGCTCTTTGTTCTTAACGGCCATATCCACTGGACTCAGATTCAAAGACTGGAATACGGGTTGGAACAGTTCTTGTTTTGGTGTAGTCACTGGCAGGAGTTGGGTTAGGTACAGCTACGTAGGATGTTGTAGGAGCATAGGAAGGAGAAGGGGTTGGTGCAGATCTGATAGGAACAGCATTGTAAGATGAGGTTGGGGTGTAGCTGGATCCTACATCATATCTTGCTTCTCCTGAGTAGCTGACATCAGCAACATATCCACTGGTCTCATCATCAACCCTGTAGTTGACAGTTTGGATTCTTCCATCAGGGAGAGCAACAGAGTAGGACCCGGAGGTGGAGTAACCGTTGTTGGATTCTGCATGGTTGAAGTTAGCACCGGAATATGAGTCTGCAACACCATAGTTGAAGGAGTAAGCGGAGGCATTGTCAGTGTAGGTTGGGGCAGTATGGGCTCTGGCAGAGGTTAAGGTATGGCTTGGAGTAGAATGGGTTCTGGTGATGGTGTATGAAGGGGTTGGGGTAGCAGAAGTGTAGGTTGAAGGTGTACCACGAGCTGGGGAAGAAGAGTAGGTAAAAGAAGGAGCAGAAGCAAAGTAAGGTGCAGGCGTGGCATAAGTTCTTACCGGAGTAGCAGGATAAACATTCCCTTGTGTTGGAATATATCTTGTGGCTTGAGTGGGGGTAAAAGACGCTTTGATTGTAGAAGGTATGTATCTAGTAGTTTGTGTTGGATAGGACAGAGTAGGCGAGGCATAGTTAGAAGTTAAGGAAGAGGATCTGATTGGGATAAAGGTTGATACAGGGGCTGATGCATGAGATCTGACCAGTGCACTTGGTGAAGGGGAGAAGGTTCGGAAAGGAGTTAGACCATTCTGCTTATGCTGGTGCTGACCAAGCTGCTGGTGCTGGTGCTGGTGCTGGTGCTGGTGCTGATGCTGATCACCACTTGCAACAGCAATACTCAGTAGAACTAAAGCACAACCCTGAAATATAAAATATTTGGATACTGGTATAATGAAAGATATTTGTAAGTGAACAATTTGCGTGCTTCTTTCATATTTTCAATAACAATAACATTTTATTCCCCTCTGCATGAAAAGTGTTAAATGTAAAAAAGGAATTCAAGACTGCCTTCTAAAAAGTTAACAAAGATTTTGAGTACATTAATTAAGTTTTTTATTCAATGATTGTTTAGTTTTAAAAAAATGGTTAAAAATCATGTCTTACATCTTTAATTTTTTTAAATATAGTTTAAATATAGTTTTTGCTTCTAGAAAGTATTTAATTTAAAACAATTTTCAAAGTATCAATAGCTTAGTTTAAATTTGTTCTCTTCGTTTGAGCATCTTTTAACATTGAAAACCATATAAGGAATTTTAAACAATATTTTTAAAAAAATTTACATTTGAGTTGCAAATATATTTTCTCTATTTAAACTATTTCTACTTTTATTCTTATTTTATCAAAACATATAAACAGGAATTAACTAAATAGAATTATTTTAAACAAATGTATTTTTTAAGCAAACACAAACGGTCTTGTTTTGACAATTGAGTAAAATCAATTATGTGATAATGGATTTCAGTTGTTTACATTCCTCATTACAAAATGTCAAAAGTGGAACTATGAATTTTTTTTACTTAGATAAAATAATACCGAACATTGAAAATTATGAGAGAGTTTTAACATACAATTGTAGGCGATTATACCAATTTAATAAAGACGACTTTTTTTGTTATGTTTTGATTGTTTTTTTTTCGAATTACAAAATGACATGTAATGAAAGAGAAGCTTTTTTAATCTTTTCTTGACTTTTGTTTATGTGTATATATATGCTGTTTTACAGCTTGATTTTAATTAAAATTGAAAAGTGGCCTTCCTTATATTGATATAAACGCCAACCATTGTAGAAAAATAAAGATTTATAATGATTTAATTTATATCACTTTATACCTTCATGTTATGTTCCTAGTTTTAGAAGAACTAATTATTTGTTCAAATTTTTCCCTTATATACAAATTTTATGTTGAAGTTTTAAACTGGTTTCTGGGCCAATCGACGCTACTTTGGAGTCTTAATAAATAGCTGGCGACAATTTTATGATTAGCGCACGCGCCAACAAATCCGATCTTCGTCGGACATTCTGAAAGGGACTGTAAGCGTAATTCTAAGTTACTTACAACGGTACCCTTGAAAACTAATTTGTCTGATCAAGTATGAATGAAAAAATATCCTTATTTGGGTTTATTCAAAATGATCATTTACTTTTGTGGTTTCTCTGCAATTTCTTGCTTTTAAGAAGTAATAGTGAAATAATCAGAATGTAATACCTACCGAGTCAGAAAACCGACGTACATTTTTAATCAGATTAAGGTTTCAAGGGTACCGTTGTGAATTAGGCACTGTCATCTTCGAATGAAGGGTCACATTAAATTATGCTTTCAGACCCTTTAAAGTTATTCAGAGTACCGGTATATTAATAATACAATATTAAAGGTCGTGAAACCGGTGATATCCAACTTTAAACCTGTTTTTTCATTGGTTCTTATTATTGTCAAGAAAATCTCAAACGTACATTCTTCAGAGGCGTATTCCGGGGGGGGGGCTTGGAGGCTTAGCCCCCCGCCTGGATCAGTGAAATCCATGGTTTTCAGGAGGGTTTTTGGGCCCCAACGGGTGCTGAGCCCCCTCTCCTAAATATGTTTTTAAAGACCCCCTGGAAAAATTTCTGAATACTCCCCTGACATTCCTGATTGGCACTTCCCCAGTTTTAAACTGGTATTACAGGAACTTAAGCATCATTGGTCATACTTATTTATGCGATATTCCACTCAATTCAAACTATTGGATTGAGATATTTTACCGTTATGCAGATTATTTTGTGTAAAAATTCAGCCATATTGATTCTACATTCTTGAAATTATTTCATTCTTCTTTTTTATACAACTAATGATATTCATCCAATTATTTTATTTCAGCTAGTTCTCCATTTTCATCCCATTTCTATTCATCTACTTGCCCTTATTTTCATCCCATTTTTTATTAACATCCCTGCATTTTGTATCCATCCAAATCTTCATTTTCATCCATTTTTTATTCATCCAATTCTACATTTTCATACCATTATCCATTATCCATTCATCCTAAATTCTTCATTTTTATTCCATTTTTTATTCATCCAATTTTACATTTTATCCAATTTTTTATTAATCCAATTCTTCATATCATTCAATTTCTATTCATCCAATTCTTTATTTTCATCCCATTCTCTCTTCATCCATTTCTTCATTTTCATTCGATTTTCTATTCATCTATTTCTTCTTTTTCATTCGATTTTCTATTCATCCAATTTTTCATTTTCATTCTAGGTTCTACTCTTCTAATTCTCCATTTTCTATTAATCCTCATTTCCCATTTATCTCAATTTTTTTTAAATTGCAATTTCTATTCATCTGATTCTTTCTCCAATTTCTGTTTAGTTTTTAAATTATCAATTGTTAGAAGGATCTCTGTTGTAAATATAATTGACTCTATATTTTAAAAAGAGTTATACACCCAATTCACAATGGTGTTCTTTAATCCTCTATCTGAGTACTAATGATAAAGATATCTATTTTTTTCATACTAAATCGTGTTTACATTGATCGAGAATGTTCAAGCTCTCACATAAAATACTTCTTTTACTTTTACCTTTACTTCTTTTGAACTAAAGTTAGAAACAAGCTCATTGTAGTTTTCGAATGTATTTTCGAGGGCTACAAAAAATGTAAACGTGAATTTGTAATTTAATACCAAATGTGTTGCGACACTTCAAATTTGGCCCAGTCTTGAAAATTGTTTAACAGCTTGGATTTATGTTCATCAATTCTGACAATTTCATTCGTTGTCTCTGTGGCATATTTACAAGTAACATCTTGAAGTTAAAAGTAGTCAATTTTCAGCAGTAAAAATAAGGATGCATTATATTAGGTTTGATGGTAGCGTTGTCAATGAACCTATTAATGAAGAGTCACAAATTACTTCTATAGTTATTAGTTATACTCTATACTGATGTTAGGTACTTTCCCAAAGGCATTTTCAAAGAGATGTTAGGTCTTTTCCCAAGTGGCAACTAACCTCCAACATTTGGGAAGTTGTCACTTAGGAAAAGACATCATCTCGTTAGTTCCTTTAAAAGTCTAGGAAGTCCTGTGCACTTCAAAACTCTGAAATTAGCTGCAAAATTATTAATTGTTTAATGATCTAGGGAGTCCTGTTCCCCCGAAAACTCTGAATGAAGCTGCACAATTATTAATTACTAAATGATCTAGGGAGTCCTGTTCCTCCGAAAACTCTGAATGAAGCTGCACAATTTGCAGTTTGCTTCTCTGCTGCTTGGGATAGCAAGGTATTATTATAATTGTCTGTAATTGTTTTTAAAATAAATGTAATATTGTTATTGTTAAAGTGCTATTGTTATATTTATATTGTAATTGCTGTGATATTATTTCTATTTTTATTGCTATTGCTTTATCGTTTACTTTTCATGAAATAATTCATTCATTCCTTGTTTATTTTTATTTTATTTGTAAAGGTCATCACCTCTGCTTACTGGGTATATCCAGATCAGGTCAGAATTTAGAATAATTTAAATAATTTAGGCTATTAGGGCGCTTCGCGCCCCCTTTCCTGGAATTCATTTTAGCTTTTAATTTTTGCTCTAGAAGTCGAGAATTTTAAATCATTTTCAAATTTGGGCGGATTTTCAAAAAAAAATATCAAAATATTTATTAGGATTTATTTTCAATTTTGATGTTCCATAAACCTTTCTTGGGGTCATGTGAGGTCCCACACAAAATTTCGGCACGATCGGTTGAGCCGTGTTGACGTCTATCGGTTACATACTAAAATACAGACACACAGACAAGTACAATATTAATTAAGATATTAAAATTAGAATAAAATATTTGTCATTTATTTAACTAGGCTTTTAGGGCGCTTCGCGCCCATCTTCTAATTAAATTGTGAACATGTTCTTTTTGTGTACATTTTAAAACAAAGAAGAAAATTAAAAAAAATTCGCGTATTTCAAGAATTTAAATTTTTTTACAAAATTTAAAACCTTTAAAACACATTATTTTAATTTTTATCATTCATAAACCTTACATGTGGTCACGTGATGTCCCACAAAAAATTTGGGCCCGATCGGTTCAGCCGTTTTGACGTTTATTGGATACTAACAAACAAAAACAAACAGACACCCAAGCCAAATTTATATATAGATAAGGTTTCTAAAACTGCCTAAACAGGAGAATATTTGACGGTTGGTAGCTTGATGTTGCTGAAACAGGAGAATATTTGACGGTTGGTAGCTTGATGGTCCTTAATATTGTATTATCAGGTTTCTAAAACTGCTGAAACAGGAGAATATATGACGGTTGGTAGCTTGATGCTCCTTAATATTGTATTATTAGGTTTCTAAAACTGCTCAAACAGGAGAATATTTGACGGTTGGTAGCTTCATGGTTCGAGGGAAGAAGAACTATATGCCCCCCGCCAACCTTGTCATGGGTTTTGGATTCCTGTTCAAACTTGAAGAGTCTTCAGTAGAGAGGCATAAGGTACACTTTTAAACATCTAAGGCACTTAACATTTTTTCAAGAGAAAATATCCCGAAAACATTTTTTATGCCGCAACTTCTCAAATGTACCTTTCACAAATAGTAATTTCACATATTTCATAGCTGTTGTAAATTATTTTCATTCTTCATTGATCATTTGTTATAAAAAGGAATCAAAGTCTTTGCCAGAAGCTGACATTTTTACTCGCTATATCTTTGCTTTAATGTTATAGCTTTCAAGATTACTGTGGTGAATCGGACATGCCAATTGATATACATAAGGTCATTGGACATAATATTTACATTCCTTTCAAGCCACGCAAAACTAACTAAAGCAAAGCATTTAAAAAAAATAGTCACGTGTTCTAAATTTCAAAATTTAGCTTAGAAAGCTCGATGTTTAATGATTCTAATGCGAAAGCCATTTCCCTTCCCCTGTTTTATGAAATTGTATCCGATTATTATAATATTATTTATTTTGAGAATGATTGTTTTGAAACAAATTAAATGACGACGACATTCGTAACTAGCTTTAAACTTTTGCTTAATGTTTTAGAAAGGTTTTTTTTTTAATGCATATCAAGTAAAGGCGTAAAATTAACTTTACATAATTTAGAAGAAAAAAGGCAACCGTCTAACCGTTTTTTTTGTGGGGGTAACCCAGTTTCTGATAATGTTTAAATATCGTTTAATTTTCGTTTGATTATCGTTTAATTAACGTTTAATTATAGCGTCATTTTTTTCGTAAGAAGTTGTAGATTGGTTTCATTGCTGAAAGAATATACCCGTAGATGTCTAAACAGACGAATAGAATAGTTTCTTTTGATGCCATTTTAAAATTATTTGAAGAACCTATAAGGGTTAATCAAAAATATTGAGGCTTTTGAGACGACCCAATGGAATTTATATTTTGCTTGCATATAAATGGTTGCATGAATCTGTTAACTTTTTTGGGAAATCAAATTATCCTTAAAACAATCAAAATACCCAAGGCTTTAGAATCAAATTCAACATTTAGATCGTAATAAAGATTAAAGTCTCATCCTTTGTGTGCTACCATGTGGCCTCTATGTTAACTGTAGCATTGGTAATTTATTAGATGGGGGGGTCCAAAAATCGTTCTCTAGGACGGACCCGTAGCATTAAGACGACTTTAAATATTGGTATTTTTTAGAATGAAAGGAGGGTTCGAGGCCTGGAGGATACTATGTCAGTTGTCAGTCAATCCACAGATATTGGGTATACATGTACACTTTCTTTATTTAATGGGTCTGTAAGTGTAATTTCAAGTGACTCCCCTTGCAAAGATGTCAATGTCCGATTTACAACGGTACCCTTGAAACATGTGACTGATCATATTCTCATTAATATCTACGAAAACACTTTTATTGTTGAATAATTTGTTTTCAAGCTATTTTAAGTTCTAAAAATATTAATATTACTTTTTAGAATTGACAGAAAATAAGCTTTTTTCTTCAAATCTTGGAAACCGATTTGAATTCAAAATATTCAGAAATCAACGCATCGGCTGTGTTGAGTTCACACTATACGCAGCGTTCACCGCGTAATCTATTTGAATGGTTTGACTTTAATAGAGAAAGATGGTTTGCAGGCAACGCTGGGTTCCCAAGATATTAAATAAAACACGGATGTTATTTCCACATTTTTTGGAAAATATTTTTTCCTTCAAATGATATCACAACCATCAAAATTGCAGGAAAAGAAATATTTTAAAAACGTTAAGCTTTTTAAATAAAAAAATTAGATGAGCATACTGCATAACACTGAGATTGAATATGTTTCGAAATAAATCTGCAAGAAAGATGCACTGTAGTGTGTTAAAAAAATCATGAATTTGGCAACTTGAGAGGAGTGTCCTGAAATAAATCTGCAAGAAAGATGCACTGTAGTGTGTTCAAAAAATCATGAATTTGGCAACTTGAGAGGAGTGTCCTGAAATAAATCTGCAAGAAAGATGCACTATAGTGTGTTAAAAAAATCATGAATTTGGCAACTTGAGAGGAGTGTCCTGAAAAGTTTTCAATATGTCCAAGATGTGCGGAACGTTGTACACTTAAGCTTTTAACTTATTAACTTTTAATTGTATATCATAAGTATGAAATTTTTTAACAAATAAAAAAATGTAAAAAATCTATATTTTTCTTTCAGGACTGTTGATGACCTTGAGGCTACCAAGGACGGGGAGGAGGATCAAGAAATAGAGTTAGAGGACGGAGACTCTTCAGAGGATGAAGAGAAGGTAAAACTAAGGAAGATACACCAGAGCCCGCGATTAAAAAGCTTGGTCTCTAGTGTTAATTCTGTAGACCCAGGTTTAAGGATCAATCTTAGACTCAACTTATGAATCAGCTGACGACAGCTTGTGTAACGTGATCGACAGCTGCCAGCTCTTAGACTTGACTTTATGATTAGGCCCAATGAAAATATAACCGACCCTCGTTGAGTCTAGTGGTGAATTAGTTTCAATGTAGAGTCTTATTCTATCGAATCCCGGAATCTGCCAATTTCAACTATGAAAATCCGCAAAATACAATATTTAACCGGTTTAATGGAAAATTACTAAGCTCCCAAAGCTCGAGTTTTAATTTAGTCTCAATGACAGCTATGACATGAGTCTTATTTTCACGAATTCTTTAATAGCGGGCTCAGGAACCCCGTATCTTTGTTTACATACAAAGTGTACTGCAGTTTCTAGGAGGAATGTTAACAATCTGTGCTCAGATCATTCCATCCTGAAACTACTTTACAGTTAATTTGTAAACAAAAATATTCCTGCTGTATCTTCCTGAGGTTTACTATCCCCAAAGAAATTTCAAGTTAAACCCTAACCCCCCCCCCCCCACCCCCTCCTGTAAAAAAAACACGCATTTTCTCAAGTGTTCTGTAAAATGTGCATATCATTTACCCATTTTTTTTTTTTAAAGACAAAAACGTTATCATTAATGGTCCTGTTCAGAAGGAAAACTTATACCCTGCCCCCCCCCCCCTTCTTCCTGTATAACAGAAGAAACTAGCAAAGAGAACAATCAAAAATCTCAAACAGCTTGAAAGTAAATCTCAAACAGCTTGAAAGTAAATCTCAAACAGCTTGAAAGTAAATCTCAAACAGCTTGAAAGTTATTAGGCCTTGTTTCAATCTTATTTTAATAATGTCATCTCGGGTTTGAATAAGGGATAGTAGGTCTTCCCTAAAATGTCTGATTTTATTTGATTTTATTTATTATTTTTCCAGTTGTTAATGATCTTATTCAGAAGGAAATCATGGATTCCATACCAGAGGAAGCTAGCATAGAGGATGAAGAGGACGATGAGAAAGTAAAGGACGATGAGAAAGTAGAGGAAGATGATAAAGTAGAGGACGATGAGAAAGTAGAGGGCAATGAGAACGCAGATCAGGAAGAAAAGAATTATGAGATGGAAGAAGTGGAAAATGAGAGAAAATTTTCAGGTTTGATCATATACCATTTACAAAATGTAACACAGTTTTTTCAGACATGATTTAGTTTTCTCATCTCGGGGTTGTAAAGTGGAAGGATGACACCCTGAGAGTCTGATTTAATTTATGCCATTGTTACCACCCAATGATGACCCTTAGGGCCAGAATTATGATGCGTTGACTTTAAATATTAATTTGGTTTCGCCAGAAAAATCGATGTCTTGTAAGTTTGGTGAATTTCACTGTCCAATTTAAAAACCCGGTTTCGATGGTCGTACAAAGGTTTAAAGGGTACTGGTGTGAATCCAACATGCTATTTTAAAAAATTCAGGATCACTTGAAATTGCGACTACTTACAGTGAAAACCTTAATAACGAATACATCGAAAGAATTCATCAAATGACGTATTCTTCACTTTCTGATAATGGAATGTTGCAGATATTTAGTTTATTAATTAAATGATTATATGGAGCTCTTTAAAACTGTTCCCGCATATTCATGTCCATTTATTTATTTTCGCAAATACTGAAATTTACGTAATATAGTATAAAACCATCGAGATATTAGTAATAGAGGGGGCATCTGGAATTTTAGACTTCTTGTTGTACAGCCACTGTACACAATGACCCGATCAGAAATTCTTCCTGGGGGATCATAATTCGTAGATTAGTTTTGAAAGTTATTGTTTGAAAGTGAAGACTACAATATTCAAGCAAAGAAAACAAGTCCATATGGTTTTTGTATAAAAATGAGACATTACAAATAGAGAAAAAAATAAAATCCTTCTCCTTAACCCTATCTCTGGGTACTTGAGAACCAGAATATTAATACCGTACAAATAGATGTACTTAGGATTAAACCCACTGTACTCTATGATACCAACTCAGTCATAAGGAAACATTTTTCGACAAATTTCACTGTACAGTATAAACCTAGCCAGGCAAAATCAGGAGAGTTATGCCCGCCCCCTGTATAAAACTCATTGAAAAATTGTCAAGACGACATTTGATAAATTCTTCCGATGTATTCGTTATTAAGGGTTTCACTGTAGTTATTACTGAATATTTCTTTAGGATTTACTTTTTTTTTAACAAATGAAAAATAAAAGAAAAATTCAACATTTTTTTCTGTGGTTTGCTTATTTTTATGCTAAAGCTGAAAATTAATGAAATAATCACGACTTGGAACTTTTCCCCTTGATTTAAGAATGAACTGAAAATATTTATTTTTTTAGATTTGTCTGTGAATTCCGGAAGTTCCGGAAACCCTCAAGACAAGTCTAATGATGATGAGGCTAAGAAGGAAATTAAGGATGAAGAACTGGATCAATTTCCAGATACAAGTTTAAAAGTAGAATTCAATAGGTGATAAAAAAATGTATTCTCCCTGGAAATTATAATTTTTTGTTGTTGGCTTATAAATATGACTTTGACACGATAAGGGGGCCTGACCAGTAAGTAATTATAGAAAAATATGATATAGAAATGGTGGCCCCTTTTTACAAAACAAACCTCATAAATGTCATTCTACGAATTTAATCCCTTTTTCCTTTATAGTATATTATTTTTGGCAATTATTGGTCTTTTCCTAATTAAATTTGTTAAGATCTGGGAGTGTAGAAGTAAAGTTAAAATCCACCGAATCTACCCAAAAACCGGTTTTGAGCAGTCAAAAATCCGGGAAACCAGAAAAGGGTAAAAAGCCTCCGCTGGCGGGGGTAAAAGAAGAAGCGAAGGAGGAGAAGAAGGGAGGACAGGTGCGAGGGAAAAAGGGGAAGAATAAGAAGATCAAGGAGAAGTACAAGGACCAGGATGAAGAGGAGAGGGAGATGAGAATGAAAATTCTTCAGGTTTTTTTTCTCAATTTTTATTTAAATTTGACATAAATGTTTCTAACGTTATTCTTAAGAAAGCACATGACCTCAAAATGTTAAAATTATGATATTGAAGAGGTGGGGTGTAACTTAAGATTCCTAAAGAAAGCTTTTATTTTGTATTTTCGAGGTCATAAAGTGGTCAGAGTTGATATCAATACAATTAAGACGACTTTTCTAGTTCTAGTTTTGATTTTTTTTTAATTCTTAGTTCACAAGTTACCGAAAATTGAAGCTGTTAATTGACAGCTTCTCAGTGCTTCCTTGTTAAAGTGTATCCACTATCCATGCTGCTTAAAAGCTTGGGAAACATTTAAATCTAAATGCATTTATAAAAAGGTTTTGCCATTTCAATGACCTGTTTTTTTACAACAAAAAGATCGTGTTCATTATCTACGTTTATTCTAGAGCGACGGTAAAGAGAAGGAAAAGAAAAGCAAGAAGAAAAATCAGAAAACAGTTATTAAACCTCAAATCAGAGAAAAGAGACCACCACCACAGAAGGAACAGAATAGTTTAATAATGTTTAATAATGTTAACATTAAAGGGACTGTAAGCGTTATTTCAATTGACCTTCCATGCAAAGATATCAATGCCCGATTCATAAAGCTTTGTCTGATCAAGTATGAATTAAATATGCAAGTTTTTGTTTATTTAAACAATTTATTTTTAGTTGTGGTTTCTTTGCAAAGTGACTTGCGCATTTCTTGCCTTTAAGAAACAATTCATGATGAAATCACAGAAATAAACACTTTTCAAATCAGAACAACGTCATCTTATCAGGTTAAGGTTTCAATGGTATCGTTGTAAATTGGGCAGTGTTATAATTGCATGAAGGTTCACTGGAATCTACGCTTACAGTCCCTTTAAACTCATTCATAAGTTTAAACACGATTTTACCAAAGTTAATCCAATTAGTATTGCTCGGATTAAGTCGAGCTCCAAGGGACTGCAGCCGTTATTTCAGTTTATCCTCCATGTATTGCGTACTATTCACAAGGGTACCCTTTAACCTTCCCTTGCGGTTTCTCTTAAAAATTAGAGATTACTGCAGCAGTGACAAAAAAGGAAAATGTAAGACTTAACGCTTAAACGCGCTTGGGATTTCACTCAGATAAAGGATTTAAGGGCATTGTTGTTAATGGGACTTACTACTATTTAAATATACAGGGTTTTCCACAATGTATAAGACTAAAGAGCCATCTGTACGGAATTTATCTATCTGTTTCCTTATAATTATGATTCCCTGCAACTGTAAACCTTGTTTTTTTCTTTGCCAAATCATTAATAAGCCATCAAAATACTATTTAAGGCAGACGATTTATTTCAACCTTGAGATGGCTATATTCAAGAGTTTTAGGTCGTCTTTACAGTCTCATACTTTTTGGGTAACCCTGTAGAATGACTTGAACGTATGTATGCAGTCCCTCTCATGACTCTGACTTATTTTTAAACTATTGTTGTCCAGAAACCAGGGGGAGGGGAAGGGGGAGATGGAGGGGAGGGAGGGGAGGAAGAGGAGAAGGAGAAAGTCGTCGTCAATGACGAGACCGACATGCTCGATAGCTTGACAGGTAACAAGACTGACATGCACGATAAGGGTACAGATAATGACGAGGTTGACATGCTCGAATTTCGATTGAATTGCAGGCAGCCTAATTTATCATCATTATTATTATTATTACCATTTTATCATTATTATTATTATTATATCTTTTATGAACACCTGTACTTGCGGATGAACTACTATTTGCTGTACCAGTGTTTGCCCCCTACTACTTATAAACTGTACATTACTACTGTACACTTATAAAGTGTACCGTAATACAGTACAGTTATAGGCTGCACAGTACTACAGTACACTTATAAACTGTACAAATCTACATTTCACTGTACTCTTGTATCTTGTAGGAATACCAGTACTTGAGGATGAACTATTATTTGCTGTACCTGTATGTGCTCCCTACAGTACACTTATAAACTACAAATATAAAGGTATAAAATATTTATTTTAATAAAAGTACATGGGGTTGTCCAATGCCCACAAAGAAACAAGATTTTAAAAATAAATATTTAAATTTACTCTTGAAGACACTACTCAAAAATGCTTCAATTGTTTCTAACAAATATTCCCTTTTTTTAAATGTACTGAGAGAAGAGAAAAATGTTTAGTGGAAGGTGAGTTAATTTCAAGATAATATATTTTCCCAGAGTGTAGAAACATTTTCTGTTAGCGAACTTTTCCTGTAATTAATAAATAATTAAATATTAGTAAAACTAACGCCTGGAACTGGGAAGCGAGGAAAGGCCTGTAAAACTGCTTTAAGTATGTTTACACTGGATAAATCTGCATCACCAAGGCAATTCATCATTTTTATTCAATCATTTAAAAATTAAAATTTAAAAAGAATTAATTTTCTTATTTTACGTTAAAAATATCATTAAATTTGAAATGATACGAATCCATCTTAAAACTCTAAAAATGTCTAAATATTCAACAACAAAAAGATAAATTTAATTTTCACATGCACGAAACACGACAGTAGCAGAAGGACTTGAATATTTGAAATAATTTACGGCATTTATTCATGAACCAAATATAAGCAAAATTCTAGAGTTTAATAGCCATAAAATACCCTTGGTCTTAGCATTTCCAAAATGTGGTCTTAGCATTTCTTGTGCTCTTAATACTCCTTGAGATATCATTAATGATTAATATTGTTAAGATTTTGAAAATTTTGGTTTTATTTAATAAAATTAAAATCTGAACGAAATTCTCTAAATCTCCAGTAATATTGACAGCCCAAAAAATGCATACTACATTTTAGAAATATCAAAAGTAGGAGAATTATGAAGTTATTGTTTCAAGATTCATATATGTAAAGGGATGTTGACGACTATATTTTAAGATCAAAGACGACTTTCGAATCATCTTGTTTCTGTCATGTTTCGTGGGACACCCTGTATATACTTGCCTTGTGAGCATTAGTTTAAAAATGACGAAATTTACAGAGAGAAGGATTTATTTAAATCCGTGAAAGACCAAGATATAGCGAGGTAAGAAAAACAAGAATTATATTTTTTCTTAATTTTTTGAATGAATTGCTAACATATTTAATAATCCTAAAAACTCACTTCATTCCAGATTTAGCAAAGTAACTTCGAGATTACTGTGTGTAAAAATTTGATTTGATTTGATTTGATTTGATTTGAGTGGACTGGACTGGACTGGACTGGACTGGACTGGACTGGACTCGACTCGACTCGACTCGACTCGACTCGACTCGACTCGACTCGACTGGATTTGAATCTTTAAATTTTGTTGTTTTTGTTGTGGCTTGTGCCAGCTTTCATCCATGAAATGTCATTTTTTTTCTTCTATTGTTTATAAAATTCGTTCATTTACGGTATGTTACATTACGTTACTATTCGTGTTTTTAATTTTAGATAAACATTTTAGCTAAAAATAATAATAATATTTTTTAGGAATATTCCCGGGAAAGTTAAACTCTCTGCTCCTCATCTTCAAAAAGTGAAAGGGAAAAAATAATTGTTTTTTTTTCTTGAAAAAATATATTTTTGCATTCCAAAATTATTTTCTTTCTTTTAGAAATATGTTCAGATATATTTATTAATATGAAGGTTTTAGGTCCTAATGTTAAAACGGATGTTCCAATTAATATATCTTTCTAAAATGTCGTCTGCCTTTTTCTGCTTTCTAAATTGGTTAATATTTATATTCATATACATCTTAATTCTTGACATTCAATATCTTTAAAATATAAAGATAAGAATAAGAGGTAATAAACAGAAATAATGGAATAGGAAGACGACACTCAAGCAACACTAATTGTATTTTATGTTGTTGTTACAAAGTGAATAGCTTTACGAGACACTTATTAAATTTAGGTCTGTGACTGTGTACACAACATAATTGCATACTCTCATTGATAGTTAATACTAATCTTGTCTTCTTACATTAAAGTTTTATGTCTTACATTAAAGTTTTTTGTCTTATATTAAAGTTTTATGTCTTATATTAAAGCTTTATGTCCTATATTAAAGTTTTATGTCCTATATGTTTAAAGTTTTATGTCTTATATTAAAGTTTTTGTCTTATATTAAAGTTTTATGTCCTATATTAAAGTTTTATGTCCTATATTTAAAGCTGTATGTCCTATATTGAAGTTTTATGTCCTATATGTTAAAGTTTTATGTTTTATATTAAAGTTATATGTCTTATATAAAAGTTTTATGTCCTATATTAAAGTTTTATGTCTTATATTAAACTTTTATGTCTTATATTAAAGTTTTATGTCCTATATTAAAGTTTTATGTCTTATATTAAAGCTTTATGTCCTATATTAAAGTTTTATGTCCTATATGTTAAAGTTTTATGTCTTATATTAAAGTTTTATGTCCTATATCAAAGTTTTATGTCTTATATTAAAGTTTTATGTCTTATATTAAAGTTTTATGTCCTATATTAAAGTTTTATGTCTATCACTTTATCAAAGATCTGATTATCCTCTTTCAATTGCCATTTAAGTGGGCTACCCTGTATTGCATTTAAAACTAATTTGGAAAAATTAATTACTGTGAAACTTTTTTTGTAGAAATGCAGGATTCTGGGTTACCCACAAAGGATGAAACGTAAGGGAAAATTGTAGAACTTATTCTTGCATTCAGGGTTCCTTGTAGGCCAAGACTGGCATATTTCTGTGCTTAATTATTTAGTAAACCACCAAAATACTTAATTGAATGCATTAAAGTGTCATTTTTTAGAGTTTTGGTTCGGCCTTATAGTCTCATCCTGTGTAGGTAACCCTGTAGAATTGTAATTAAAGAGATTGACCGGCCAGACATGCTAGTTTTTTATGGATTTAAGAGACCTATTCGACATTTTTACGCTAAATCATATCATATTTTTTTCAACTAAAAACCACGAGATAATAAAAATTAAAATTCACAATTTACTATGTAGTTTGGACCCGCCTAACCAGAGTAGGTTGTTTAAATTAGTTGGCCCATTATTAGCGAATAAGAATTGTAGATAAATGAGTGTGCATTGTATATTGTACATTTTACACATAATTATTTTGATGAAGGTAAGGAGGTGGTGAAGAGGTATAGGGAACCGAACGGTATAGGTTACTCAGCGGAAATTCTCCCGGATGGGATAGGATAGGCAAAAGATAGACAAGGGTCAGGCAATGCAAGGCAAGGCCAGGCAACGTTAATGGTTATGAAACTGTTAACGTAGTTTTAAGTGACACACCTTAAAAAAAAATAAAGATTGGCATGTTCACATCAGTACCTTTGAAATCTTTATTTTAATCAATTTTATGGAAGTATAACGCTGCAAGTCGCTTTTGTAGAGTAACTACTCTCGAAAATAGTAAGAAAACAAAATAAAAATTACATACATATCTAATTCATATACAACACAGAGTTCAATGAAACCACGTTTAGAGTAAGATATATATCATTTGTTATTGTAATCCTCGATTATAGATATATTTCAGATAAAGATGAAATATGTTCCATGGTTCCTGGATCACGTGATATTATTGAGACCTATTTGTAGAGATGGACGCGTTCTTCTTTTTCGTTTCATTCGTGAATATCACATTTGTTAGTTTTTTTCCATCTTTCAAAAAATGTATTTCGTTCGTTCTTAAAATTATCGTTTATTTTCCTTCTAATTTTGGTCGTTTTCTCACTTGTAAGTAAAATCATTCTTGCAATAAAATCGTTCGTTCAGTAAAAAAACCGACCGTTTTTTAAAAATCTTTTGGACGTTTGTTCAATATAAAAAACGATAGTGTTTTCATGTTCGTTCGAACGATTTTAAATCGTTCAATTTTGTCGTTTTTTAAAAAAAAAACTAAAAAATGTTCATTTCTCTGAATGCGTTCTCCAAAACGATGTCGATCCCTACCTTTATGGATTTTGGATCATGTGGTATTATTGATTCCTGAGTAATCCCTACATTAATCATAGTTAAATCCTTCACCATCTAGCACTAGAGAATGAGAAATTCACTTAAAAATAAAAGGATTTCAGAGGGTTACTCTTAAAGGATGAAACTGTAAAAACGACTTGAAATCTTTCAAATCTGTCGATCCCAAATTTAAATTAAGTCTTCAGAAATGTGGTCTTAGACTTGCTTATCTAATGATTTGGCGAAGAAGAAAGTTTACAGTAAAATAATTCCGTACAGATGTCTTAAAAGTCGCATACTTTGTGGGTAACCCTGTAATTGCTGATCAAAAAGTTATTTAGTGCGATTTTAGTTATGGAATGAAAGTACAGTTTTAAAAACAACAATAAAAAATGTCGCGATTTCCAGTTTAAAAAGCGGTAAAAAATATCACGGATTATTTAAAGCATGGTTGTTGAACAAAAATCATAAGCCTTTTTGAAAGTCGTCTTTACCAAGTTTGCCAAGGATTTCTCTCTCTGACGGAGTCTACCACACCAAACCCAACCCTCCTCCGATACTCAATTGTGAATGCACTAAAAATCTGTAAACTTGGTGACCAAGTCCTAAGAATTTCTAAGGAGTTTCCAGAGAAGCATTCAGGAGAATTTCTCAGGAATTTCTTGGGGTGAAATTCCGAAGATATTCCTAAAAATTTCTCGAAACTAATTCTTTTTATTAAATTTCCCGTAAAATCCGTAAACATGGTGACCGAGTCCTAAGAATTTCTCAGGGATTTCCGGAGAAATAATCAGGAGAAATTTTCAGGATTTTCTTGGGGTGAAATTCCAGAGTAATTCCTAGGAATTTCTCGAAACTAATTCTCTTAATAAATTCCCATAAAAATCCGTAAACATGGTGACCAAGTCTTAAGAATTTCTCAGGAATTTCCGGAGAAGTAATCAGGTGAAATTCTAATTCTCATATTTGCCTTGTATTTGAAGTTTTGGTGCAGAGAGAGATGAATCTAGAAAGTTGCTCCCACCAGATCCTGTGCAATGTGCAATAAAGTAACACTTGTGCAAAACGTGCAAATTTTCTGCACATATATTGTTGATTAATACGAGGAATTGAGTCATGGCCAGTGGCCACTAACTTAAATTTTCTCATCACTATAACTTTGCAACTTGATGGTGTAAGCCTTCGATATTTAGATCATTTGATCCAACAGAATTCATATTTTGAGATATCTAAGGTCTACAACATAGGATTGCAAAGATATAGGGCCGGGGGTCAGGTGATTAAATCAAAAAATCTTTAACTATTTCTAGATGATTTAGAACACATTTCTGATTTTAAATGCATTCCCAATTCTTAGAACGCGTTCTTGATAATAAGAACGTGTTAAGAATTTTAACCATTCTTTTCAAGCAATTCCCGTTCCGTTCTATTCCGTTCTTTTACTAATCATTCCAATATTTTTTAGAACACGTTCTAAGCGTTCGTTTTTTTCAGAACGATGGGATCGTTCTGGATCGTTCCGTTCGTTCTCGGGAAAGAACGATTGTTCCACCAGGAACGCGCCCAGCCCTATACTTATGACATGTAACAGGAAGGATGGACAAAGCTGTGTTTTATATAAGATTTATTCTTTATGGGGGTTTCATATCATGATAGATACTGATTCAGATGGTAGTAGGCAGGGCTTAGGCTGGAGAAGAAGGACAAGAGGATCTATGGCAGGGTTTGAGTCAGATTGGAGATTTCATCGCTCAGTTCATCTAGGGTTTCCACGAAATGGCTAAATCTTTTGCGCAAAATTTGCGCTATTTTCGCGCAAATTTTATTTTTGCGAACTTTTGCGCTATTTTTGTTTCGCGCAAAATTGATGCGCAAAGAAAGAAAAATATTGCGTTTCGTTCCGCAAAAATTGCGCAAAAGTTTTGCGAATGGAAACCCTAAGTTCATCCCTCTCTCTATGTCAGCCCGGTACGAGTCTTGATGTTGTACTATTTTAGCTCAAGGTCATACCTAAGCTACTAGATTGGCTTTGTATTTTGAACCCTTTTTAGACCCCTATAGTTTCTGTGTTCTTCTTAAAGAAAAAGGGGAGGGCTCAAACATATGTTAAACTGAGTCTTGATTAAATATATGTTATATATTAATACAAACAAACCACAACATTTCTAATATAATATTTTAGTTAAAGGAGGAATGAATCTGAATAGAGGAGGAAAGAACTTCTACTTCTACAAAAAGGAAACTTTAAGATCTAAAAAGAATTTAATTATAATCAAAAATGGAAGATACAAGGAAAGAGGAATGGAAGATGGAGTAAAGAAAATGGAAGATGGAGTAAAGAAGAATGGAAGAAGGAGTAAAGAAAAAGGTAGAAGGATTAAAAAAGAATATTCTAATCATGCATTTCTACAATTAAACCCAGAAATAGTATACTTTTAACTAATTCTATCATATCTTAGATTGTAATGTGAGATAGAAAGAAAAGATGTTTGTGTAAATCAGAAGTGTGTTTTTTTGTATGAACCTAGGATTGAGGTTGCTTGGTGCCCCTCAATAATTTATCTAATTTTTCTTGATTTTTATTGGAATGAAAGATTCTCTTAAAAACTAAAATTTAACTTAGACTTGTAATAACAACATTTTTTACCAATTAAAAATTACTATTTATATATTTCAATTGGTGTTCCATATACTGTAGGTAAAAAGCGTAAACTGGCTCTCATGTATTTCTGAACACCACAACATGAATTTCTCCCACTGTGCAAAAGGGTTAAAGGGCTTAAAAGTAAACTCAACAGATTTGCTGATGACTCTGAGCAGAGATAAGAGAGTTACAGAGATCGATATTATAACATCTATAATATACAATATTTTCCACAGAATGTTCTATTGTGTACAAGTACTGTACACAACCAATCAGGAGACATATCTGTATTCAGGGATATCTAAGGATCCTTTGAATAGATAATGCAAAATCTTAAAAGACAAAATTCATAAACGTTATGTTTTATGTTTGAGATTGGAGTATTTCTTTAAAAGTTGTAAAACTTAACCCCTGAATGCAAGAAGTGGCCGTGAGATGTCAGTCAAAAAACACTACATGGAGCTGTAGCATGGCTTGCTGGGACACTATAGGCCTGCTCAGCCTATCCAGGTAGAGTGTATACACAGTCTGTATAGTCTGTGACTCTGAGATACAGTTTACAGGATCACAGACGATTTACAAATAATTCTGCAGATTCTTTCTCCGTGCATCCCTATTGGATTTCCTATACTTAAATTCTTCCACCTGTTATAAAGATTTCATGACAGAAGAACTTACTTAAGCTTTCAAGTCCAGACATCTAACATAAGTTTTGAGTCATTTCATCACAAAAAAATTGATTGCTATTTGCTTTATCGACCAAATTTCATATTTTAAAGTTTTCATTTTATTTAAATTCATCTTGAAACTTTGTGGAACAACTTTATTTGCTGATTTGACCCACTGCACTCTAAGAAATCATCTAATTATTAAAAACGGTCAACAAAAAAAACGCGGAATTTCAATATTTGATTTGCAATTTTCACACAAATTTGTTTAAAGAATTTGCGCTGAATGCTTCATATAGATTGCATGCAAAATTATTACTTAGCATTAAGCATAAATTTATCCAGCTTCGCCATTATTTTTTTATTAATATCCGTTCATTATTGGGAGTTTTTGATCATTAGTGATTTAGATAAATTAACAGGATTTTACTGTTAGTTAAATCTTTTATTAATTTTCACAAACTACTGTTTGTTAACAGATCGTTTCCCAGTCTGGTTTTAAGATAAATATACTTTGATTCTCTGGGTGTCTGTTTGTTTGTAAACGATAAACGTCAAAACTTCTGAACCGATTGGGTCAAAAAATTTTGTGAGACCTCTATGATTGATTAGAATTACAAAAATTTGCCTTAACAAATTTAGATTTTTCAAAATTCACGAAAAAATATATTTAATCTCCTGTTCAACGAAATAACCAACCTTAAATTCCCTCCTTTTTTAATTCCAGGGAGGATAATTACTTATCCTCCCTATTTACAGGGAGGATAATTACTTATCATCCCTCTGTGATCCATTCAGATTTGATTCAAGATTTAGATCAAGAAATTAAATATTCTTCCATATGCATTAGTAAGAAATAAGAGAATTAAAATCATAATTGATAGTTTTATTGATTTCATTATTATTTTATCCCCCACGGTTGGTTATTTCGTTGAACAGGAGATTAAACGATAAATTACTACTTAACTTGGAGTTTTGATGAGGATAATTAAATTGAGAGAAAACCACTTAGCCTTGGGCCTCCTCGACCTTTTTGGGGTTCAAACCTCCCTCGCTACGCTCGTGAGGTTTAGAACCCCAAAAAGGTCTTGGAGGCCCTCGGCTAAGTGGTTTTCCCCTCAATTTAATTATCCTCCCTTAATCTCCCGGTTAAGTAGTAATTAATAGTTATAAAAGAGCAGCATTTAAAGTTAAAATTGAATTTATTTAAATATTTGTTCTAACTTACAGTTAAATAAATATTTCAGAAATACAATTCAGCTGATGACTGCACTATTTCTGTCCATAATTGCTGATTTCTGATTGGTTCAAATATTTTCCGGATTTCAGGAAAGGTTGAATGGAGAATATTGATAGAAATTTTATATCAACATAAAATTGTTTAGCTGTAACTAAAACTAATTCAATAATAATAATAAGATCTGAGTCTGAGTTTTAAGAATTTGAGCCATGGCTTAAATTTGAGACATGGCTCAAATATAGTTGGTTTCACTTAATATTGTATTCAATGTTTTAAGATTTAAGCCGGTGATCAATTGAAACCGGTTTTGGCGGATTTGACATGCGGCTTAAATTATTTAAATTTGGACTATGATCTTTTGTGTTAATAACGTTAATCTTTTGTGCTTAATAACTTTATATTGAACTTGGGGCAGAGATTAATGCTTAATTTTGTTATTAAAGTTATCTATTAAAGCATGGAGATCATGTTTGATTATGAGATTCACAACATAAAAATTGTTAATTCTGTCCAATTAATACTAGGATTTTCAAGGCAATTATATTTTACTAATATTTATCATATCTAAATAGGTAAATTTTGATTTTATGAGATTGGTGTACAAAAAACGGTTTTGTACAGTCCCCTTTGAGGTACATCCTAATTGGTATTTTGATTTCTGACATCAGAACCATTAAATACTTGTTCTCATTATATTGAACAAAAGTAATACATAACTATATTTATATATTTTAAATTTGATCAAACATTTAGAAAATTAATTTGTTCATGTGAGACTATCAACCAAACCTCCCAATAATCCTTTTAAAATGCGAAGTTAATGGTCTCAAAGTCTGAGGCTTCTGGGGGTTGTTAGCCCAATAGTCATTTCCTGCATATTATTTTACACCTGAAAAAGTAGGATTTTAGAAAAGAATCTTGAGAATTTATATTATCTTAGATAGATTTGTAAGTGATTCTAATATTTTAAGATGCAGGTCTAATTCACAATGGTACCCGTTCGACTTTTGTCCAATCTTGGATGAATGAAATGTCTTTATAAACTTAAAATGGATGAATGAAATGTCTTTATAAACTTAAAATAGATGAATGAAATGTCTTTCCTAACTTAAAATGGATGAATGAAATGTCTTAACTAACTTAAAATGCATAAATGAAATGTCTTTACTAACTTAAAATGGATAAATGAAATGGCTTTACTAACTTAAAATTTGAAAAGTTTTTCTAACTTTAATTTTGCATACACACTGATCATTTGAATTTGTTAAATTGTCTTTTACAATTATTTACTAGTTTTTCAATATAACTGAAAAATTGATTAATTTTATTTAGGGTTTCTCTGTTAAAGAGTGGAAAATTTTTACTTAAATGGAAACCAAAATACAATTATTTAAATGTTTTGCCTCTATAGATCTTATTTTTAATTGACATGAGGTCTGATCTTTTAATTGAGAAAGTGCTAATCTACAGGGCCTGCATTTGTAAGATATATCTAAAGATGTAAAATTTGGTTGAAAGGGGATTAAGTAGACAGTAGATAGTAGATGGTAAAGAAAACGGGTTTTCCTCTGAGGTACATCCTAACTGCTAATTTAATGTTTGTATTCCTAACCTTTCAATACTTGCTCTCCTTATAGTGAACAAAAGTAATACAGAACTATACATATTTTAAATTTGATCAAATATTTAGAAAATAATTTTGTTCATGTGAAACTATCAACCACGGGGGGGTAACAGATGCATCCATGGATTAAGTGCTGCCGATATAAGTTTGTCTAATGGTCTTTGGGTTGTCATAACTCCACTCCAGTAATCATTTCCTTTTCCCCCTAAAATAAGTAATTATCTATACTAAAATTTGTTGTGTGTTTTAAGAAGTCCAAAACTTTTGTTGTAAAATGTAGACAATCAATAACCATTATCCTTTACCCCCAGGCTAAACATAGATATTTAGACTCCCAGCCTTTAAATGATGATATTGATATTGATGATTTATCGTTTTAATTCTGAACTAAAAACATTAGGCGGGCGGCTTTAGTACTTTTTCCAACTGTTTGTAATATTAACAAAATGGAATTTCAATAAGATCCTGGACAAAATGTTTAGTTCAGAATTGATGATTGGAAGTTTAACATGATCCAGTTAATATTTGGGCAACCAGAGTTGTGTAAGTATACACATAGCTAACCGGCCATAAAGAAGCCAAAACCAGACAGCGCACAATACAAGTTATCCCCTTTAAGCAGACAGCGCACAATACAAGTTATCCCCTTTAAGCATGATTAATGTGAGGACATTTGCAGATGGACTTGTGTCTAGTCTGTTGCAGATGGACTTGTGTCTAGTCTGTTGCAGATGGACTTGTGTCTAGTCTGTTGCAGATGGACTTGTGGTCTAGTCTGTTGCAGATGGACTTGTGTCTAGTCTGTTGCAGATGGACTTGTGTCTAGTCTGTTGCAGATGGACTTGTGTCTAGTCTGTTGCAGAAAAATTGCACAAAATTTATTAAAGCTGCATGAAATTTACCTCCTGTGGAAATCCCAAGTACAATGGAATGGTATTTTTACCTGGTGGAGCTGCGGTGTACTGATCTGGATCTGCAACGTCCTAATAGTAGAAGATACTGAATTAGTACTTAATATGAACAGTGTGTAAGTCGGTTGGAAATTAACGACGCAGTTATAAACTGTGCTAAATCAAAGCTAAAATTGTGATTTGTTACGCATATCACATATTTTAAAATAAAATTTGTTAGATGTCATTAAGTATAGTTTTCATTTAGACTAAAGCAGAATTTTAGGCCATTAAAGTGAGCAAGGCCATGAAAAAACCTTGGTTTAAAGTGGCCAAAAAAATTAAAACCAAACATTGCAATCTCTTGTAAGATAAAGTTAAGCATTTCAAACAACAAATAACGTTAAAAAAAGCAAGTTTTTGGTGAGAGATATGCGTAAAAAGTCCTAGAATCTTTTTAAATTATAGAAAAGACAGCATGCTTAAACGTATTGTTTTGTGTATAAATCCAGATGCCTACTCTTTATATTACCCTGCTCTTCTGCTCAGCTCCACTGTAGGAAGTTGAATCCTCTATTGGTTCTTCTTCATCCAGAGTTTCAATTAGAAACTTTTTACACCCTCCTTTAATCATAGAAACAAGAATAGGTTCGATAAGCAACAGGATCTAAATCTAGCAGCTTTGTTATTTTGATCATCGCAAATGAATTTCCTAATTGAGAAGCTCAACATTTTTTTTCCTGGATTTTAAATATATTTGAAAAATTGTTTTAAACCTCAAACAAATAAGTTCCATCAGAAAATATGTTGAATTTGTTCTTTTCCTTGAGCTAGTAAAATATAGAAAATAGAGAGAAACATTGTTACTTGATGGCAGTTCATAGTGAACTAATCAAATACTGTACTTATATTTACATTAAAGATATTTCATGCATTTTTGTTTTTCATATAAAAATAATAAAATATAAATATAAAAATCATTAATTATATTGAAAGTGAAAACTTGACCCTCAGGGGCATTTTCAGGAATTTGTCAAAGCCAGGGGGGCCCTTTTTTAGGGGTGGGGTGAGGCATTCATCACAAAGAAGGGACTAGGGTTTCCTGCAAAAAAAGGAAAAATTGTTATGCAAAAATTTCACATTTTTTGCAAAAATGTTCATATTTTGCTCGCTCCTGAAAATTTTGAATCAAGATGCATATTCCTTAAAAAAAAGTTTTTGAGGGATTCTTCTCGCTCGAAATATAAATAAAATTCTTTTCATCAACATTTATTTAAGTAAAGGAAGAGAAATTATTAATATGGTATAAATAAAGGTTGAGCTCTCAGAGTTTTTTTTGCTCGATTAATTGTTACAGCTTCAACATTTTTGCGAAAACATAAGGAAGCATAATACACACTTAAACTGGAGTATTTCAAGGTTCTCATGCCGAGTATCTCTCCTAGTACAGATTATATCCTACAGACTTAGCTCCTCTCCTAGGACCATATTCTTGTAGACTTCATTTCTCTCCTGGTACCATATTCTTTAAGACTTTACTCATCCCATGGGACCATTGTAGACTTCTCTCCTCTCCTGGGAACATATTCTTCTAGACTTCTCTCCTCTCCTGGGACCATAATCCTCTATAGTTCTCTTCTCTCCTGGGACCATATTCTTCTAGACTTCTCTCCTCTCCTGGGACCATATTCTTCTAGACTTCTTACCTCTCCTGGGACCATATTCTTCTAGACTTCTCACCTCTCCTGGGACCATATTCTTCTCGACTTCTCTCAGAAACAATCTCAAGGAATAATAAAACATTTTTTAAAAAGAGAATATTTGCAAATTATCTTTTTTCCATCTCATGATCTGAGTTCGATTGCCTTTTATCCATTTGACAGCCCATTAAATTTTTATTTAAATAATCTTTTTTGTGTGTTTATTTTCTTATGGTTTTTAACATCAATGTTGATGGTTATTATAACTTTGAAAGTATTTAGATTATCCAATCAGATTGTACATGGTTGTAGCGCACATATCCTTACACATATTTTCCTGCTATATTCATTTCTGAGAGTTAATATGTACTTTACTAATTACAGAATGGTTTTGTATTACGTAATTTCACGTAATTGCACCTTAATTACACAAAACTAGACTTTCTTTCGTAAACCTAATTTAGAACGTAATTAGAACGTAATGCTCCTCCGCAAGTGAAAGAAAGTGTTATGCGTAAATACGGGTACTTACAACTGAAAACCCTAAATTCAAGGTTTTTACTTTTAAATGTATCGTAAAGTTGAATGCTTTCTCAGCTGAGTGATGATTGAGTGATAGATAGGGAAAATGCGGGATTTCAAGACTTTAATCCTGGGTTTAACTCACCAATTAGGGGAGTTAAATATATTTGATTCGAGTGGAATTCAAGGTATACAATTTTAAAGTTCAAAGCTCTGCTAAAACTTTGAATCAAATACCATGCCAGATATGTTAGAGTTGTCATATAACTCAGACATGGTTTGATATCAACTTCTCAAGACAGGGACATCAGATAGAACTAATATTGGTCGCGATCAACTCATTAGATTTTTAGGTTTTAGCCTAAACCTCTTTCATTTTACCTTAAAAGTCCTTTTAAGTACTCTTTAATTTCAATTATTGTCCAAAACTACAGAAAAAAATCTCCTGCAGCATGAAGTTCAATCTGAAGGATAAGGGGAAGGGACATATGTAATTATCTGCATACTCTTTGACTTTGAAAATGGAAATTTTCTCGTGGTTCTCTTCTAGAACTTTACTTAGTAATCCTAGCTGATTTTTCCATGCTTGTTTTCATTTGATTATAATTAAGTTCTACACATATATTTCTTAACTATAAACACTATTTTTAACATTTTTTTAAATCTTAGTTTCTCACAATATGTATAAATTAAATAGATGGTGGTCAAAGCAATTAAACAGGGTGCTCACCCGTCTGTACACACCATGTTACAGTTCTTGTTGTAGACTAAAAACACTTTAATAATCTTTTAATAAGCTGAAAATGAAAAATCAAAAAATATTAAGTTGTTTATTTCATACATTTTGTTCCTAATTAATTATAATAGCTGTCTGGGAACTTAGTTGTGAACGTCCATTGACCATTTACAAATTTGGGGAATGTCCCAGGGTCCTGGCGGGGTAATTGGTCCAAGTAGTCATTTCCTAAAAAAAGAAGACATTAGAAAATAATCATAACCTTTATCAACAGAATTAAATGTTAAGTTGTTGAAGGACTGATGAAGTTATTTTAGGTGACCTTGGAGTTTTAGGATGACATGTCTAATCCCTGGATTTCTTGTCTTATTTTAGATAAAAGAGAAGTAAAAATTTTACTCTTTTTTAGATAGAAAACAACAATTCCTTTTTGTTGGTCTATTAAAAAACAAACTATAGAAGGCTAAGGCAGTCCAATAGCATCATTTACCTGATAGAGCTTCGGTAGGGAGATTGGAACCAGGTGGTGGAACTGGTGGAACTGGTGGACCAGAATTCTCTGATACTGAAACCTCCGATATATCAGTTACATCTGAACCCAATGGTACAATAGGTACATCAGAATTCTCTGGTACACTGAATACATCCAAATAATCCTCTGATTGGATTGGTACATTCAAACCCTCAGGCACAACAGTTACATTAGAGTCCTCAGGTACAATGGGTACATATGAACTCTCCGGTACAACAGTTACATCAGAAACCTCTGGTATAACCGTTAAATTTGAACCATCAGGTTCAAGTGGTACATTAACACCCTCCGGTACAACAGTTGCATCAGAATCCTCTGGTACAATAGGTACATATGAAACCTCTGGTTCAAGGGGATCATCTAAACCCTCCGATACAACAGCTACATCAGAATTCTCTGGTACGGGTATGGGCATGTATGAACTCTCTGGTACGATGGGAAGATCTCCATCCATGGTTTCAATTAGATACTTTTTATTAGACATTTCAACTAGATATTTTTTGCACCCTCCTTCAATCAAAGAAGCAAATAAATATCTTAAAGCATGCAAAGTGGAGTCTAAGGTAGAAAATAGTTATTGACTAATTGTAAATAAGAAGAAAAAAAGCGTATCAGCAACTTACATTTGATTATATCAGCAAAAAAATCTATAATTATAAAAACAAATAATAAAACATAAAAGTTCAGATTGAAAATGAATATGGTAGTAAATAATCAGAAAGTTTAAAATTTGTCCTTTTTCCTTGAGCTAACAAACCAAAGAAAACAAGGAGAATAATTCCACTTTTTTGGCGGTTCATGATAAACTAACTTTATATTGTTTATATATTTGAATTAGAAATTTCTCATGCCTTCTTATTTTCCAATTCAAGATAATACTGATTCATAATAAAGTAATAAAATCGTTTAATTTTCCATGAATATTATTTCTTTTATTTTTATTTAAAAATAAAACAGATTATCAATACAAAATAAATAAGTGCAATTAACTTGAAAAATTCTTAGTCAAGTGAAAAAAGTGACATAATTTTTCTTAATTATTTAGTTCTGAAAGGGACTAATGACAGAATTTCATGTGATTCTGCTTTTTGTGTGGGGCTCATCTGATATGAAAGCTCATATAATTTCTGTTTTTTCTCTCAATGAACTTCTTGTTTTGAATCAAAGTAAACATTACAGATCTGAGCTATATATACATATTTCTATTATCTAAAACGCTCCAAAGAAACGGATCCAGTAGTCATTTCCGCTTACCCCTGAAATAAGATAATAAATAAAAACAAACTATGGTTTAGTGTAACACCCTTTTGATAACTGTCTATGAAACTCCAATCCAGTCAGGTCTCACAGATGAGATAGGTGTCTTCAAATTTGAATTTTGGATTAAAATCCAGTCTTAATCTTTAACTTTGAATCTGTGGTTCATATTTGAATCGGCAGTTGGTAGTTCAGCAATGTAGCTCAAATTCAGTAAATTCAGTCCCAGGGGGGATAAATTTTTAAAAACGAAATACATTAGTTGGCATTACTTCAATGCAATGAAGACAACTTTTCTATATAAGTTTTGATTTCCAACTCAGCGCATTTTATGCAATAAATTTAGGCTGGCTGCAGGTACATGTGATTTACCTGCTGGAGCTGTAGTGGGCTGATCTAAACCGTGTGGTGCAACCGATGCCACAGGTACATATGAATCCTCAGGTACAACTGGTGCATTTAGTTCTTCTTCATCCAGGGTTTCAATTAGATATTTTTTACATCCTCCTTCAATTCAGGAAACAAATAAAAACATAGAGTTTGAAGTTACATGAACAATCTGATTTATACAAGAAGCTCAAATTTATTTAGGTTGTTTTATATTATTAATTTTAAACCTTTTACAAACAACAAATTAAAAAAAATTAGATTGGAAATCATTAGGTGATAAATATTGTAAATTAATTAGTTCACTTTTCCTGGTATCATCAAGAGATACAAAACGCAGAAAAATATTGCTCCTTGTTGGCCGTTCATGATAAACTAATTAGACATTGCTTATTCATTTAAATTAATAATATCTAATAAAATTTCTATTAAAAATAATGAAGAAAAATAAAGACTTTTATAAAAGTAATAAATTTTTCAATTTCATTGGAAGCTCCTAAAATATTGTAGCATTTAAGATCTTAATCAATTTCCTCCTAGTCTGAGCTCTATGGTTTCTGTGCTTTCCTAGATAAATACTGAGACAGAAATGTCTCAAAGAAACTTTATTTTGTATAGCTTAAGAATTCAGAAATAGTAAAAAATTTAAAAAATCAAGGGCAGATTTTTTCTTAACCTTTTATCAACCACAAAATTGAGCCGGAAATAAGATTGAGTATCAATTTTTCCAAATGATGGTATTACTTCTGTGTAGCTCCTATTTATTAAGTAAGATTTGTCTATAGTCTTTGGATTTCAAAAACTTTTAACAGTTTTGAATTCTAATATAGCTGGTGGTAAGGTTGTTTTGAACATATATTGAATATCAATTTGATTGCACCCATTTAAATATCAGCTTTGCATTGTTGTACATGCAGTACAATGGATTCCAGCCAGCACTATACAGAGTGTGCAGTTCCTATTCAAGCATTGATGGCACTATTCTGCAAAGTGCTAGCAGGAATTCTTATCCTCCATCGCACTGGTTCTGTGATGAATAGGAACGGCACTACTCTGCATAGTGCTGGCTTGAATGCATAGCCTCAATAAATTGCACTGGTACCATGATAGTTGGAATGGACACAGAGTGCTTCCTGGAATGCATAGGCTCCATCGTACTGGTATTACCATGGATAGGAATGACACTACTCTGCATAGTGCTGGCTTGAATGAATAGCCTCCATTGCACTGGTACTACAATACATAGTAACTGCACAACTCTGCAAAGTTAATGTACGAAACAGTGTGGGAAGAAATTTTAGGCTCTATCTGGACTGTGTCAATATTAAAATGTTTTAGATGCTTGAACATTTTCTGACTAACAGTGAACAGTAAAACTGTTCCTGTCATTATCAGCAGATAAATCATTTGGAGTACATCTGAACTCTTGTTTTAATCAGTTCCCTTGGATTCCAGAAAACCTATGATTCAGCTGCTCCAGTTCACGATCTGTCAGTGTGTCCTGGAAGTTCCAGTTTCTATGTTTCCTGCAGCTATTTCTACATCAGATTTGTCTGTAAAGAGCAAGTTTAGTTTCTACTCCTGGAGTCCTAGGCCTGACTTAATATTCTAGCTGCTCCAGATATGTATAGAGCTGTCTGGCAAGAGAAGCGTCTCCAATATTGGGAAAGGGCAGCATCTGGTATCCTGGGTATCCTAGTTCTCCTCTGTATCCTCATAGGTAGTTTAGATGGGCTTGTATGAAAGTAACTGTTTCAGTTCCAGAAACTACAGGAGATAAATCTCTTGATGATACTGAGGAATCCGAGGATGTATATTCATAGATAATGATGGGGAAGAAGGCTGGTGTCCTCTTAAGTTCTCCAAGATACCCTAGCTGCTCTATATCTTTAGTGGCTCTGTCAATAGAACCATGCAGCTCAAGAATATAGAGCTCCATCTGATTCATATTGGTCCGTAGTTGAACTAGCTCGTCCTAGCTGTCCTGTTCTGTATCTCTCTCTTCATAGATACAGCTGGAGAGTATATCCTGGTCTGTAGTTGGAATGGCTGGTCTGTAGTTGGACTATTCTGTCCTAGATATCCTAGCTGCTCTTTGTCTCCAGTTGTCTCCAGTGGTTCCATCCTAAAGCCAGGTGGATAGTAAAGACTGGATCCTCTAGCTGCAATGTGTCTCAAGTGGTTAAAGATAGGATAAAGTAGGCAGGATAAAGATACAGTCCAATAGTCCAATAGTGCAGGTCCCCAGACCTTTGTTGTTACAAAAGCAGGATTATCTCATACCTCTGTACTTCTTAAAGATCCTGGGTGCACTAATCCTATTCTCCAGGTTCTCTACTCCGCTCAGATTCAGAGAAAGGGTTGATGGCCGATGGGGTTTTGTATCTGATCATACTCTAAATACTACAATAGATAGTAAAATCATCCATTCCCAAAGAAATATTTATAATTTTTAACTTCTCGAGGAACTTTGTCTCATGTTTCAATATGAAGCTTAATTGCAAGTAACTTTATCTTTTTGATAATATTTGAATTGATAAAAACAAATTAATATTTAATATATTTTTTACAAAAACATTTCATCCAAATTGTATTACTTTTTAAATTTCTTCGCTATCTATCTATTCATCTATCTTTCTATATATCTATTTAAACATGTCTATCTATCTATATATATCTATCTATCTATCTACCTATCTATTTATGTTTTTATCTGTCTATCTATCTATATATCTATCTATATATTTATCTATATATCTATCCATCTACCTATCTATCTACCTATCTATTTATGTTTTTATCTGTCTATCTATCTATATATCTATCTATATATTTATCTATATATCTATCCATCTACCTATCTATCTACCTATCTATCTATCTATTTATCTTTATATCAATCTGTATCTATCTATCTGTCTGTCTATCTATCTATCTATAAAGTATCTCTACAGACTATCATGCTAAAAGGTTTTCATCGTTATTTATAAACCCTCCAATATTATTTATCATCACAGTATTATACTTATTATTTTAGTGGACACAATATATATATACAAACTAATCTTTATATTTTATTAGAAGAAATAGTATTTTTAGTAGACAGATGTTAGAGACTTTTTCCTTGGTTTATTTTTCATAGAGACCATGAATGTACCTTTTAATCCTTTAAACTTAATTGACGGAGATATTTAATTGTTAACATAAAATTGGTGGGTTTCAGGAAAAGGTAACCGGCGGATATCTACTGCAGGAACAAGGAAAGAATTTGAGAAAATGTATATATATTCGAAAAACAACACTGTAATCCCTTTAGTTTAAAGAATGAAGGTTTAAAAGATACAGTCCTTGTTGCATATATCAATACAATGAAGACGACTTCTGATTTAAATATTATATTGTAAACCCACCCAGCTAGTTCATTCAACCCAAGCTAAATTGTATCATGAGTTGAGTAACTGGACAAACAAATAGTATTGATTGTATTTAACCCGTTACTACTGGAGCTGGTATCAACGGCCAGAGGAAATTTCCAGGGTAGCAAGGTTCAAATCCTGGGAATCCTTATCAGGGGAACACGGATAACGGTGCTTTCGTCGGAAGAGAAAGCAATCTGAACGTCCATTTTGTCCCCGAGAAAAGGGTTAGTCTTGATGAAGGAGGAGAAGAGAGCGGTCGATCACAGCTCCAGTAGCTCCGAGAGGAGAATTAGATCCATCTATGATTCCAGGATTGACTTCGGTTGATCCTCAGTTTGTATTTTAATAATAATGTAAAATAAATGTCTGTGCAAAGTTAGTGCTTTAATCGATTCCATCTGGCTTGTTATATTGAGTTTCTCTTTGTAAAGTTGCCTTTATTCAGTTCTTTATACATGAGTTTCTATTAAGTTTATAATATTTATATGAAGCTGTTAAACAGCATGGATACACATAAACATAGATGCCAAGAGAAGCTGTCAATTAAAAAAGCTTCTCTTTAATTTCTTGTAAACATGTAATTAGTAAAATTGGACGCGACACTTAATATTAGGTTAAAAGCCGCTTTTAGGAATGAAGACAAATAAAAAAGAATATGGGGAAAAAATGAAAAAGATTATGGAAAAAAATAAAAAAAGAATGTGGGAAAAAAATGAAAAAAGAATATGAGAAAAAAATGAAAAAGAATATGAGTAAAAAATGAAAAAGAATATGGGAAAAAATGAAAAAGAATATGAGAAAAAAATGA